TTTTTTTTGAGAAGCTCATTTGTGAACAAAATATGAAAAAGCTAGGTGTTTAGGATTCTACGGCCGACTCGTCTATCATCGTAGAGCCAAGCACCTCATACGCTCGTCAGGTCACTGAACCTTTGAGGCCATCATCGAGCATCATCAGCCGCATACAAACACCCACAACTCCATCAAGAGAGCAAATTTCGGTTGTGGGAGAGGTTGAGGTGACTTTCAGACTTGCGTTATTATTTGGGTTTTTTTCTTCGGAAAATCCATTTTCTATCGTTCATAACAAGCATACTTTTTTCCGCTTACTTGTGTTATTAGTTTTCGCGTTTAGGAAAGAAGCACGCTCGTTTTTCGACCTGTCACAGAGGAGCGACAGAAAGCCTGGTGCGAACGGCTTGGGTTCGCATATGTCGGCTCTTTGGAGTTAGTTATTGTTGCAAATTTATCAAAGTTTCTATGCCCCTAAGCCAGGTTTTTTGATTGTACGCTTCCTATCATTTCAGTCGCCGCAAAAGAATGTTCGGTAGAGAGATTGAGTTCTCTTTGCGAGACATCCCTCAAAGCTGTGAAGTGCGAGGAGATGGTAATTGTCTATTCCGGACACTCTGCTGGTGGATCACGGGTGGTAGTGAACGCGAATACGTACTTCTACGCAAAAAGGTGTGCTGTTCGATTTTACGGTAGATATCACTCATGTGGACTTTCAGCTCATCGCTTTCATGACTAAATATCGCTCGAAATTTACTAGTTTGCTAATGAGCCAACAAGATATGGATACTCACCTGATGTAAGTTTTTTGGCACATAAATGGATATAGCTCATTTGTTTATTGTTAGGAGAATGGCAGAGGATGGAGAATGGGGAACGCAAGTCGAGCTAGCTGCGGCTGCTTGCTGGTTAAATGTGAACATCTACACATTCCTTGAAGGAAAATGGTTGCGATATCGACCTCTGTTTCGATGGAAATCGGATGGCAGTTCGCCAGTTTGTAAGTTGCTTTTTGTAAATAGTTGGAGTGCATAGATGTTACAATTTTATTTTCTTAATTTATTTCAGCTATGTCACGCAACGAGTGCAATGATGATACGGGAGCCATCTTTATATGCAATGCCAGCGGCTGCCATTTCCAACCAGCGGTCAGCGTTGAACCCCGAATTGTATGGACTATCCCCTATTATTTAATGAATCTTTTCTTATCTTTGAAATTTTCAGGTTAAGCGTAGTTTGCGGCCGCGACGGGACCGAGACATAGTCAAGGTAAGTTATCTCATTTGTTGAAGCTTGATCACGGTATTGAGTAGCATATTTTCAGGATCCATCTCCTTTGCGTTCTACTCCCGAGCCACCTTATGTATTTAATGTTGCCGATGGTCCTGTCTACTCGCTGTCTGCGGTCATCTGTCATCATGGAGATTCACTATTGACCGGTTTGTTATCTGTTTACTACATTGGTAGCATGCTGTGTTATTGAAATTTTTCTAGGACACTATTCAACATTTGCTTTGGACGCAACTCGGCAAGAATGGTTGGACTGTAACGACCACATAATTACAAAGGTATTGCGTTTAAAGGCAGCGGTCGGCAGAATTTGGTTTTCCAGTTTTTACCTTCCCGGGACCTTCTCGCCATGGGGAACCCATACCATATCTGGGCTTTTTTCGCATGCAAAAGGCAAGAATGAGCCTTTCTTGCAGTTGTCCAGGTCCGCATTCAGTGCAAAATACGGGAGTGGTAAGTGGGCGGAGCTCGAAAGAAGAGAGATAGGCGCCAGACTATCGGCGAATTAACGTTAATTCTGCCTGCTTCAACTGCAGGTCCTGGGCAGAATTAATGGTAATTCTGCGCACGTTCTGCTGCACAAGCAGGCAAGCTGATAGTCTGGCACCTACCAGAGGCAGAGTGCGGAAGAGCATTAAAAGCGGACCTTAAATCATCGAAATAGGTTCACTTTTGCCATTTTCATGCGCGAAAAAGCCCAGATATGGGTT